AGAAGTCTTTTGCCAGTACACAAGACATTAACCAGCACAGCATGACTAGTTACATGTGTGATTTCTAGCAGGAAAGATAGAACCAAAGAAGCAGTCTTCTGGACTGAGCTACCCACTAATTTAGGCTAATGTTAGGCCAATGTTATTTCTTAAATGAAAGGCACCTTGTGAAAAAAATACACACAGCAATGTAATTTAAATATACTTGTTTTCCAGCTGCATTTAACGGAAAAGCTGAAGTAATATTAAGCATCCAGTCAGTATGGGATTTTTCTGTTTATTACCCATTCGTTATCATGATTTTAAACAACACAATCCTTATTTTTTCCCCATTCAAATTAACACTTTCTTTCAGCTCTGAGGCACAGAATAGAAGTTGGACCTGAAAGAAAATTAAAAGGCTGGAGTTGTCTACAGAGATATCTTTGTTCTTTTCAATCAGGTCACAGAGATTGGAAATTAAAGTTCCAGAAGTGAAATGTGTATGTTTTTTCTCAATGTTTTCAATTTCCAAGAACAAAATTTCCAAGGAAATTTCTGTAAAAGTATCTGTCCTGTTTATCTTTTTAACAAGGCCTAGGTCTGGCTTATCTCTAGGGGTGCATCTACACATGCACTTCACTAAGGAATTGACTAAAGAGCTCCACAGTAAAGCATTGCCAGCTACACATGCTCCCATGTTGGGGCACAGCACTACCCTAAGGCAGAGTAATTTATGCTGCTGCAACGCACGTGTAAACAGTGAATGGGACTGGCTGGGGCATGAGGGTGCTACAGTGCGGGGATGCCTGCTGGTTAGCCCTGCACTGTAGCACCCTCCTGCCCCATCCAGCCCCTCCACCACCCCATGCCACCACCCAGAGCCTAGGGCTGCTCCACCTTGGCTCAACATGCTGTCATGGTGGGCACGTGTAAATGCTTATTTCTTCACCTTAATTGCACATGTAGATGCATACTGAAGGAATCATTTTGATTCTCTTATATCATGACAAGTAAAATGTATTACTTTTTGTGTAAAAATCTGAAAACTCCACATAAAGATTAAATAGCTAAACCTTTCTAATAGCTACATAACACTGGTAAGGTTAACAATAGTCACTTCACCGATAGTTACACTGAGGCACAAAGAGGCCCTTACTCACCCAAAATTAGCCTAGGGCAGGACTAGCAACTGAGCCTCCTGTGCATGCTTCAACCATAAGACTATACAAAGCACTTGCTTTTCCACACCTTAACACCAGTCATATAAAACAGTGCTTGGGCTCAGAGCAGGTTCTTCTTTCCACCTATAAACATGAATCAAAATGGAAGATTGACTTTCACAACAGTGAGTTACTTACAACCAAATATTTTCTGCATGTGAAAGAGAAGGTTTACTTTATCTTCAAACACTTCTCTCAGCCTGAGCCCTTCAGGACATTCAAACACAGCATATATATAAAGTGACTTGCACATTAAAGAAAAATTGATTTGACTGATGCCAATGCCAACATTTGAAACCTAGCACTGCTCCCAAGGCTGACAAGGTAGATTTAATTGGATGGGCCCACTTGTGCTTAAATGTAGCCTGGTACTAGAGTACCTTGCTGAAACCCAGCCTCACTATGCAAATGAACAGTGAGAGGCTTTGGAGCAGGGCTGGTGAATGCCAGGCATTATTTACAATGAATGACACTTAAAAACACTGCCCTTGGATTTCCATATAAAAAAAATCCTCTCATTTGTTCAGTCTTGCAGGAAGAGCTGCATGTTTGAGAGAACTTGGCGGTGTTTGTAAATTAAATGTGTGTATTCTTGTGCATTAGGGGAGAAAAAATAATAGAAAACCTTGCATACCCCAAATTCCCAGGAAGACAGCTGTCAGGGGGTGACATGGCAGATATGAAGTGGCTCTCCAGCTGGTCCCTGTCTGCATGCTGGGACGGCATGTGGAGACATTTTTTCAGTTGCTGTACTGGTTTGACACGTTCACAGTGGAAAATGATGTATCATTCTTGAGCCTTTGCTCAGTGGACACTTCAAAGTGCACTGGAACCTCTGAGAGGAGTGCCCTATTGTTAATTGTTCCTTTCACATGTACACTGGGATGAACATGGCTGGAGCAGAGAGGAACAAAAGGGCTCCGGTGGCCTCTTAGAGAAAACCCTGTGCAGCTCAACCTGAGGCTGACCTTGAAAGGGTGTTTTCTTTTTCTTTTTTTTTTAAATCCTGCTCTGCAGTTCATTTCCCTTAGGGTCCCTATTATTATCCAGCTGCGGGGGAACAGGGAGACCAGAGCAGTGAACACAGCCTTGCCAGCCCAGTGAGAAGTTTTAGCAGGCAGGGATCAGCGAAGGCAGAAAGAGCTAGACAAAACGGCCAGATCCTGTTTTGTCCAAAAGGCATCTAAAGGCTACTTGAGCATCTACATGTAGCTGCATAAGAAGCAGTTTGTGCTGCTTATGAAGATTTTATATCCTATTTCCACTGTGTGGCTGTACCTGTTCTCCTGAGCATGCTCAGAAGCCATTTGCTATAGCCATTGACATTCTGCTGCATTTCCATTTTGTCAGAGAAGATGCAGAATTGTGTGCAAGTCCCCAAAACTTCTGTCAAAGAAACGACAGGTTCATAGGTAGCACTTAGATGCCTTTATGTGAAATAGGATTTGAACCAAGGCAAAGTGGGACTCAGCCTTCAGCTCTGTGCAAAGGAATTACAGGGACTAACCACCACCACCTCCTCCCTCAGAAGCTCTCTTGGGCTTCCTGGGCTCTGCATCTAGGCTCATGACAGTAAGCCCAGCTACACCCCTCAGTGAAAAAAGGAGCAGGGAGTAGGCAGGCAATGCACAGACCTAACTTCAGCCACCTGCCCCATTTGCAGGTCAAATTACCGAGGTAGACAGAAGCAATGAGTTAGGAAGATGGGATGAAAGAATTGTTATTCAGAAGAGTGTCTCTGAGCCATAACATCTCCTGGGGCATTGGCACAATAGTGTGGTTTATGCACTAGTCCCTGCTCAGAGCTCTCACCATCCCGTTCACCGTGGATGAGCCATTCTATACAGTTAGACCAGAATGAATTGGACCCACCACAGCCCCCTACAGTCACTTCACAGTGGCATCTCGAAGGGTTCACACTTGCCCTGGTAGAGGTGACAAGATTGTGATCCACATGCAGGGGGATGCTTTGTGTAAGACCTTATGGCATGTTATGAGATTTTCCTCAAGTCTCTGAGGACACCACTGAGAGAGCCCTTTACCCCTGGAACAGCCCAAACCCTTCTCACATCTGTTTGTTACACTCTCTTTCAGAAATGTGGGGCAACTATTAAGTTCTTTATGAAAGGATTATATTGAACAAGGGTTTAAACAATTTATCCTGCCTGATTCATATGTTAGAACACAGGCTGCAATTTGTACAAATTGTACCTGCAAATGTACAAAGAAAGGATCCCTTGGCTGGACACCTACTTAGAATAAATGGACAAAGCATCTCTTCTGTAGTCTCTGATGCATAAATAATCCAACCTGGATATGGCTCAACTCCAAACAAGCAACATTGCCATTGTGTGTACTGGGACCAGAGGACTGGTTTCATTAGATGGGTGCTTATCAGACACAAGCAGCAGACTATCAAATATGTGGGAAAAGGAAGTGCAAATCTAAGGGTACAACATAGCATAACACAGGACTAACTCCAAAGGCTTTCTTATAAATGCCCATGAGGTAAAATTGTCCACTCCTGAGCTCTCAGATGTGGAGTTTCATTCCCAGTAATGATAATGGGAAAGAAGCCCTCAGTTGGCCAATGATAATAATCAATCATTGTCTAATTCTTTATAGCACTTTCCATTGGTAGGGTTTAGTGTCCCTGGCCATGTCTATATGAGCTGCTGACTGCAGTCATTTAGTACAGGCATTTCCCACTTAACACTGTTTCGCTTAGCGCTGTTTTGCTATAATGCTCATTTTCAATTGATACCTGTTTCCACTTAGTGCTCAGTGAGCTTTGTTATAATGCTTGCAGTCACCATCTTGTGTCATTAAAAACATTTGCAGTCACCATCTTGGGTCATCAAAAACTTTCAGTTTCACTTAACACTCATTTCACTTATCACTCCCTTTTTCAGGAACCAATTAAGAGCGCTAAGTGGGGGTTGCCTGTCCTTGCATACACAAGTACTAAATGACTGCTCAGTATAACCAGTGTTACTGCACAATAGCATCCCCAAACAGCTTTTCGGTGATGCTGACTGTGCAGTAGCTCATTACTGCTATGAAGTAGTCATGTCACACTTTGTGCCACATGACGCTACTGTGCAGTAGTAATGAGCTACTGTGCAGTCAGCATTTCGTGTAGACACGGACCTTTTCTCCAAAACCTTGCATTACCTCTTCAAGAACGGCCACATTCTTTCAGTCCAGGGACACAGAAATAAAAGGCCCAGAATCTCAGCTACAGGATGCAGTCCTGGGGATGAGGTATAAAGGGCCCATGTGTGGTGTCACCCAGACTCAGCATAACTTGGAGCACCCACAGAAGCCATTCTGGTAGCTGGCAAGTGCTGAGGGCAGGAGTGTATTAGCCACGCTTCTTACTTTTGGCCTTACCTCCTTCACCAGGAGCCAGGAGCAGGGTGATTTTGGCAGCTATGGGAATTCTCTTCTGGCAGGTCTGTAGCCCCTTTTGGGCAGACTAGGCCACCAGAAAGGGTGCATTGCATATTATATCCAATCTTTGATAGAATGTATATGTTCAAATTCAGATCCCTCATACCCTGTGGCAAAGAGTGAATAAGGATTTCATGATCTGACCCCAAACAAGAAGTTGCATAAGTGCATGTCACAAGGAAGCTCTAAATGGCATGGTCAGGAGTTTCACCTTCCTCTAAAGGAAATGACCATATTCAAAGGAAGTTCACGCTGTAAAAGGTGGATGCCGACAGGACATTAAATGCAAATCTTAGACTGGTAACTTATAAAGATAGATTTTATTTACAAAATTTGGATCTGAATTTGGGTTGCATGTCAGATGCCCCCAAAGTGTGGAGGTATTTGGATCCATGTTTAATATTTGGAGCTTTTTCTAAATATTTAGCCCTCAAAGCATCTCAAAGGCCCTGCTATCTTTATTAGTCTTACCACTGAAAACTGCAGTTCAGCCATGGCTGCCCAAACCTGAGATGAAGTGATAGGCGTTTGCCCTTCAGTACAAGCTGCCTGGATTTCCAAGTGGCTGGCATTTTTGAGATTCATCAGGCCACAGATTTTTGCTCTCTTATTCTCACAGATCTCAGAGGAGGGAATGTGCGTTGTGAGATTCCTGGTTTTACTGTACTATTAAGTTATTGCCACCCCTTAGGACATCCCTGCATGAAGGAGGAGGACTCACATAACTCTGGATCAGTAAAGGAAGCAGCTCAATTAGCATTTCACACGCTTTTCTTCCCTCTCTTCTTACCTTCCCTGCAGTGGGCATGCTTTCCCCTTAAAGGATTGTCCTGTTTCTGCTCTTTGCCAGCGTTGGCAGGGTGACAGTAGTCGAGTGTGCAAACTTGTGCTATTGTCCCTGGGCCAGGGGGAGTCATGGAGACCCACTAATATGACACAGGAAAATGTTTGCTGATGGCAATTCTATGGGCTTTGTCTAACTCTTTCTCCATCATGACGACTCGATTTAAGTCTCTAACTGTTTGACTACAGATGCAAGAGTACTATCCAACTCCATCCTTTTGTCCAGGCGGTTTGAATGGGTAATTCAGCTTTTGTGTGGCTCAATTGAGGGGGCAAACATAAAGACAAGATTCTTGAGCGCTCAAGCTCCCTTTCCATGGATATCTGCACATCTCTTTAGAGATTTGTTCCTTTCCTACCTTTTTCTGACATCATCCTCCCTTTAAAAAAAAAGAGCCCTGATCAAGAACAGTTAAAAGTAGGCTAGCCTGGTCTCCCCAGCTAGCATTGTCCTGTGTCATTGAAGCATGGTTAGTGCCAGCCTCCAGACAGCTTTGGGATCGTTCAGAGAAAAGGGTGTCTAAACTTTCTTAACTCATCATCAGCATTTCATGTTGGACTGTGTCAAAAAAAAAAAGGCCCTACTAGGGGTGGAGGGGAGAGGGGAGAATGGTAAAAATTGCAGGGAAATGATTGTATTATTAGCTGTCTTTCTGTGGCTGTTCCCATGACAACAATTTGTGATGGCAAAGAATGTGAGAACGGGGAGTCTAATGCCTGATTGGGATGCTTTGTATTTGGCAAAGTGGCTTCTGATTGGTCTGAGAAAGCCCTCTAACTAGAAGGAGTTGATATTCATTCAGCTTACTCAAGTGCTGCTAAACTGCTTCTAAACACTCACAGACTCCGGTTCCTTCTCTAAAGGTTGGTAGTGTATAACCTGTATAACAAGATTAGCAGGGGAACTAGGTTTTTCTCAGCCATGATACAGTAACAATCAATATTTGTGAAACAATCTACTCTGTGTGTGTGTGCGCGCGCGTGTGCGTGTGTGTGTATTTGGTTACAGTGACATGCCAGTGCTGCAGAGGGTTCTGCTTAGGATTTAAACATTACCTGTGTAACAAGATTAACCATGGGGTTCTCCAGCAGTAACAAGCCATTCCATGCATTTGTGGGGGGAGGTGTGTGTGTGTGCACGCGCGCGCACGCGGGTACAGTGATTCTGCAGCTGTGTTGTGAATGGGCTAAAAATGTTGCACATTCATCTGGCTCACAGGCAAACTGACAACTTGTTGTTTAGCTGAGGAGTTTGATTTGGTTTTCTCCCCACTCCTTCCCCGGCACCCACTTGATACTTTTTATTTTACAGCTTCAGGATGGTGTTTGGATTCAAAGCCATAAATACATCTGTCCTCCTTTCACAGGCTTGCCCAGGCTTCAGGAGAGGAAGTATAACATTTTAATGGACACCTCCATGAGGATCGCTCTGTGAAATGGCATCAGACAGTGAAGTGAAGATGTTACTGAATTTTGTGAACCTGGCCTCCAGCGACATCAAAGCAGCTCTGGACAAGTCAGCTCCCTGCCGCCGCTCTGTTGACCACAGAAAATATTTACAGAAGCAGCTCAAGCGGTTTTCTCAAAAATATTCCAGGATCCCAAGAAGTCACCCCAGCAAATCCATGGAATCCAACATGAAAAGAGGAGTGGAGGACAGAAATCATAGCTCCCACCCAGATGCCGTGGATCCTAATCCCTGTAGAGCTACCAGTGAAAAGGCACTGAGGGGAGCAGAGGTGGAGGAGAACCTCAGTGGAGAGCAAGGGTTGCAGGAGCAAAGTCCAGAGTCTGCCAGGCCAGATCAGGTGCCCATGAGGAAAAGACAGCTACCAGCTTCCTTCTGGGAAGAGCCCAGACCCACTCAGAGTCTGCTGGTTGGGAGCTTTCCTGCAGGACTTGATGGGCTCCCAAAGTCCAGGGACCTTCCTTCTTATGAGGGGAAGAAAAGCAAAAAGAGCCCAGATGCCACAGGGCCAGAGAGCCCCCCAGTGCCTGTCCAACCTAGCGGGGAAAAAGAGCCTATCAAAGTGCCTGGGACATCCCTGTCTGGCCGGATGAACGCCTGGAGTTGCTGTCCATTTCAGTACCATGGACAACCTGTTTACCAAACCCCAGGAGCCCTACCTCAGTCGCCCTTCCCAGGCTTGGGGCTGTGGAGGAAAAACACAGCACCCCAAGGGGAAATCCAACACTTCTGCAAAGAGACAGATGCCACAGGGCAGAAACTATTTAGACCGGTGGTTTTGAAACCCATCCCTACCAAGCCAGCAGTACCACCTCCTATTTTCAATGTCTTTGGATATCTTTAGCCTAAGGGAAGGGAGGAGGGTTGTACTGTGTACAGTAGCTCTTTAAGTTGAAATGGAAATGTAACTTCATACTGTGGCCTATCAGCTAGTCCCACTGGAGCAAAGGATGTTTTCTATCTATAAAACAAGCAGCTAAAACGCTGCTGGTTCTTTTGCCTGAAATGCACAGACTGGATAATATAAATACCAATTTTTAATGCATTTGGCCTGATTCTCCTCTCACTACATTGGGGGCAAATAAGGAATAGCCCTTATTGAAGCCTGTGGAGCTAGATGTGGGGAGAATTAGACCTCTTATGTTTAAGATAATTGCTTGAGCCTTGGGCTAAGAACCATTGGGAATCTTCACTTGTAATGCTTCAGAGAGATCCTACGTGTGGGAATGTCTTTCCAGGGATGCCCTTCATATTAGCAACACTGAGATGAAATGATTAAAACCATAAAAGAATCTCTTGTATTTTAAAGTCATTCTAGGGAAATCAAAATATTCAGGTAACTTTGTTTTGCGTGTGAAAGACTGAAAGGACAATATTTAACACAGAAGACAAGTTTGTAAATTGATTTCAGCTCTTCTCACCTGTAAATATTAAGAGAATTAAAAAAAATAAAGCAGGTAATTTTATTTCAGTCTCCACATCTCCAATATGTTCAGACTGATGATTGATTGTTTTGATTCTGCTGTGTAGATTCAGGTTTAATATGTCAGTAGCTAGAAATGAAAGCGAAATTCTCTTCTCACTGGCAGTGTGGTTAAATTAGCAGTACCTCCATGAAGAACTATAGAATTAACACTGGTAAAGCATGTGTGAATAAAAGCAGAATAACTCTGTACGTTCTAAGGAAATACACTGGAAATCATAGATTTGAATGTGTAGGTGTAAACACGTCATATAAGAGAAAGCAGATAAGAGAGACTGCAGTGGTATTAATGGCACATGAGCTTTGCAGGGAGAATTTTCTACTCTGCCTGACTGTGAAATGAAAAGCTGCAAGTATTTGCAAATGATGTGCAAGTTACACACCAGAGAAGTTGATCATTTATAATGAAGTCAGTTCAGAAAGGCTAACAAAGGGTTTTGTTAAACTTCTCTAAAGCTTCTAAATAGTGCTAAGCAAATAGGACATGAGATCTGAAAAGTTAAATATTATGGGTTAAGTCTCTGTTCTTTTACAGTGGACTTTATCACTGAGGTCAATAGAATTACACTACTGGATTCTTTGGGGCCTGCTTTTACTGAATTAAATGAGACCAAGACGACTGAATTGAAACCTTTCTATGAGTTCAATGATACATAGCTCAGGTTCTTTCCTGAGTCTCTGCCTCATGTTTATGTAACTTCAATGACTTCAGTGAACTTACTTCTGACTTACACCCACGCTGAAAGAAAGCTATCAGCTAAACAACCTTTGGAATAACCTCATTTCCTTGACTTGGGTCACTGGACTTGGAAGTCCATTCATACCAGCTGAAGATCAGACCTTAAAGGCAGCCTGCAACTTTTCATTTGGAAATATATCTGCAAAAAATTCCCAGGCCAATTGATTTTTTTCCCCAGGCATCTCAGCAATCCCACAAATAGTAGCTCATGTAGGAGGCTATGGTGGGTGATTCTTGTAGTCCGAAACAAAAGGTACACCAGGGTAGATTCCTCATTGCCTTCCCTCTTGTCCAGTGACTCAGCCAGCACCTGTCCAAAACAGGCATAACATGTCACAGGAGTGAGCTAGGAATTCTGATTTGGAAGAATTTTGTGCCAACTTTGTGTAACTGTAAGTGATGACACAATGTGCAGCACTGTGGGTTCATGCCCAAGGGTCCAGGAGACTGGCATTCACTCCTTTACTTTCAGTATCACCTCCTTGTCCTTCTGAAAGGAGGGCATGAAGAGAGAGTATTTCTGATTCTGCACCCACTATAGGTAAAAGCAAAGCTCCTGCTTATTTTGGTGGGAGGAGAAATGGGCCCAAAAGCATCAATCTGCAGAACTTTAAGAAAGGGGCTTCCTAAAACAGTTCTCCACATGGGTAAGCTTTATTCATCCTTACAGTCCAGATGAAGCTAATGGGCTAGAGGGTGAATTCAGTCACTGTTGTACGAGTCCAGAGTAGTTTTATTAGAGATACTCTGGCTTTCTTCTGGATGACTGATCAGAATGTGGTTTGTTGAAAATGGTTGCAGTTAGAGAGATTATTCGTGAAAATAAGAATTCCAGGACAAGTTGGTCAGAAAATTTGATGGACCCCTATATTCTGATAAAATATGTGATTCTGTCAAAATCAAAACACTCCATGAAATTGGCTCAATTTTGCAGTAATTTATTTCTGAAGAAAATCAGGAATGAGTCCTAACCATGCTGAAATAAGCCATTTAAACATTTTCAGAATGTTTTTTTCTGTTTTTCCTTTTCAAACAACTTCCCATTTTGACTTTTGAAAATGTTACATTGTTGTATATGATATAATCAAGTATCATATAAATAATATAATGTTAAAGAAAAAATCAAAATCAGAGATTGAAACAAAACATTTCAATCTCCCCCACCCCCTTCTCATCTCCCTTTCAATGTTTCCTTCCTGGATTCTGACGGAAGCCGTATTTTGAAATCTTGAAATCCTTAGTACAATGAATTGTCCATCCCCTGCTCAGGTCTATTTTCAAGATTTTGACCCTTCATGGATTTCTGATGCCTTCTGAGAGTGACAGTGATGAGAACCCAAATGAGCACAATGGCATTATTAAACAGAGTTGAAATAAATGACAAGATTTACATGAGCTCTTCCCAAAAATTTGAAGAAAAGCAGCATCTGTGCTCCTCTCCTCTTCTCTTTCTACTTCAGATTAGTTGTTACTGACTGGATTGGCTGAAATAGGCTTCATCTTACTTTTGTCTAGTTTCTCAAATGCTATAGTTCACAAGAAGTTGGTAATCTGTTAGTTTATTTCTATTTTGTTTAAATGATGAAAAACAACATCTAAAAGCTACTATTTACTAAAGTGTAATGCAAATTTTAAACGTCAAAACCACAATAGCTTTTATAAATAATGAAAAAATGAAAACCTTTCATACAAAAAAATCAACAAAAAAAGTGCACAAGAATATAAAATGAATTGCACATGTTTCAGTAAGTACAGTAATCTGGTCATATACTATTCCTAGAACAGCTGACAAACAGCCATCATTACTGGATCACTAAAATTTACCATGTTACTGTACATTGGAACAGCTCCACTTGTTACAACAGCCTGGTAGTTTTGTTCAGTTTCACAGTAACTTCTGTACAGATGTATTAACTTTTATAGGTGAGAACAGAATTTGTACCAATTCCATTTCACTGATGAACTCACTGTGTCTAATCTCAGTGTATAAGAGGTAGCCCGCCCTGTTTTAGTGCAAATAATACCCTAATAAATCAACAGTGTAAAGGCTGGAAGAAATGGTCAGACAAAAAGGATAAAGTAACAATGCAATTGCCAGGTCAAATCTTCAAATGGCTGGATTTGTACTCAGACTATGTGCGTAGTATGGACTTGATACTTCTTGTAGTTACATTATATTTACACCTTGTAGCACTATTGATTTAAATGTAGTGATTCCTGACTCATACAAATGTGAAAGAATAATCAGTTCTATAGGAATCCAATCAAGGACTGATGCCTTTTGGCTAAGAAAAAAGAAACAAAACTGGATTTTCGGTCAATCCATATATAGTTTCAAATTTTTTAAATAAAAAAAATGCCACTCATGATTATTTTGCCTATGTAAAGGTTTCTCACCATGAATTACTTATGAAACCCCACACTTACAGTATATACACATCATTTATGACTTCAAATCATTTCATCAGCCAGGTGGTCTGAAATTATCTGATTTTATGTCCAACAGAGGTTTAGGTCAACTGTTTCTACCAAAAAATATCAGTATCTATGTACATCCCAGACTGATTCTACTCTGTTACACTGGGTAATTAATCCTGATTTATAGCAGGGAGCAAAAACCAGGTTATAGCTGCCCAACTCATTTCAAGGGGAGGTTACAGCAGTTAGACAGGCAATTTTTAACATATCAAAAAACTATTTAGTTCACACAGTACTATTAGGACTGTAAGAACTGGACTGTTCAATCCTGTTACAAATAGCTGAGCACCTCTTTATGGGGGCGAGCTCTGCAGTGAAATAAGCACTCACCAGTGTAATAAAGGCAGCACAAACAAGCCCTATGTTTGTTCATTTATATTCATTTTAAATATTCCAAAATAAATCTATGACCAAAACTGGGATGTCTTTCAGGAAAGCACTAATGTCTATGGAACACATGCTGGGCTACTCATTTGGTAGGGGGAGGTGGGTGTACATCTGAATCTCTTCTTTGTTTGTTTCTTAGCAAATGGTGGCTCACTGTTAATAGTAATAATGGGGTATCTTTTAATTGGTGTAAGAATTATGAAAAAAAATCTCTGCAGATTTGAGCTCTTGTGATTAGTGCCTAGAGATGATGAGAGATTTTTAGTGGCCTATTTACCTGACTGGAGTTTGGTGGCAGAGTAGTAACAACCACTTACTTTGAACCCTGAGGTTCAAACATAAGACTCCTGCCAGAGTCATGATGAAGGCTGTAACCCAGAAGTGAATGCATGACTGATCATTTGGATGGGGGAGGCAGAGGTATCCAGAGGTGCTGCCACATCACTCCTTTGTGCTCTTGGTAGCAGAAATCAGCGTATCTTAACCATGCAGACTGCTGAGCTGCTTAGTCAGGCCTTTCAATTGAGCAAACTACTTTCAATCCTGCATTCCCCAGGGGACAGTTCCTAGCTGTGGGGAATGCCTGCAAGCCTCTGTAGTAACTGGACTGTGTCCGGTTACACAGGTGAGGATCTGTGTCCTGGAACCTTGTTCTGGAAGCTTGCCCTCTGGGCTTGACTAAACTGCTCAGCATCCCACAGAATCAGGCCCATGGACACTATGCAGTCTTGAGGCAGCAAGAGGGCCAAGCGTGGCTAGAGGTGGGGATAATATGTAGGGTCTTTCATGAGAAAACTTCTTCAGTACTTTCAATCCTGATACAACATCCGCTTTGTCATTCGACAAGATGGGAGAGGCACGCAGGAGGGTAAGCTAGTGTCACTGAAGTCAGTGGATGGATTTACACCTGTGTTTACCAGCTGAGGGATCTCATCCCGGGCCAGGGCTTCACCCGTCTTGGCAAAGCTTGGCAAGATCTCAGCTCAGTCTGAACTGGAACCACACTGGTTTCTCAACTGTCTATTTTGGACGGGGACAGTCACACACGAGTATATACTTAGCTAAAATGACTGCTGCTTTTGTTTACAGCCCATGCCACAAATACTGGAAGAGATTTAATCTCTAACCTTCTGGAGGTGAAATCAGGTTCTAAAATCTTGTGGAAAGGCAGATGTAATGGGGGAAGGTACTTTTAGCCGTATCTTAGGGCAGTCGTCAGCAACCTTTTTAGGCTGCAGAGCAAAATGACCCAGTTTGGGTCAGAGGCAGAGGGGAAGCCACTAGGACTCGGATGCCACTGCCTCTTTTCCCCACAGCAGCACAGGGAAAGTGCCTGACACTGCTGGTTTTCCCCAGGGCAGCCCAGGAAATGCACCCACCGCTACTGTTGCCAAAGCTCCACATGTTTGTGAGCTGGATCAAATGGCTCCATGGGTTGGACCCAGTTTCTGGACCATAAGTGTCCGACTTCTGTGTTAGGATTTAAAACACTACACAAAGAGGACTTGCTGCAGTGGAGATCTGTTTGAGAGGAAGAAGCATTTACCCTATTTAGATTTTACCCTGCTCAGTTCAGGATATGGTACCCAACTCAACAAATAGAAGCATAACTATCATATGTGCTTGCAGAAAAATCTCTGGTTTGTCCCCAAGTCAGCCTGTAACCCAAATCTCCTGTTGTATTTTTAGTCAGAGGGACAAGACCAATGTGTTTCTAGGCCAAGATCTGCAGAGACAGTTAGGCTCTTATATCCTTATGTAGGTGCCAAAATAAATGATCTGATTTTCAAAGGGGCTGAAATAGCAACTTCTACTGATGTCACTGGGAGCTGTGAGATATTCAGCTCTCTTGTAATTTAGGCCAAAGAATCAAAGATACATTTGTTCCACTTGAGTAGCATCTTACTCCAAGAAGTGGCCTCACTGATTTGAGTGGAATGACTTATGCCATAAGCAATGATTCACTGGGCATGTCTACACATGCATGCCCATACTGTGCAGTAAATATGGCAATTTACACTGACTTGAGTGTAAATTTGCATCACGCAGGTATCAATTCTACACCTGATTACTTCCTGTGCAGTCACGCACATGTAGATGCTTTAAGGTACAGTAATACTCTGAGTGTGGACTGACTTAGGACTAACTTTAGTCCCAAGTCAGACCACACATAGCGTTAATGCACTTTAATGCATACACATGTAGACGCTGGCTTATTCCCGCTTACTGCGCAGTAAATTTATGCTAGTATAAATGCATGTATAAACACGCCCACTGTGTCACAACCCCGCACTACATATAGACATTTTATCATTAATACAGATCCATCATTCTTATCATTAATAAGGATTTAGAAGTATCTAGTTGGGTGCCTGTTTTTGAAAGTCTTTGTTTTTGTGTTTAGTAACACTGAAATAATTGTTCTCTTCTCTCAGTAACAGCAGTTTAGGGCTTTTGCTCCACTGGCATTTTCTAGAAAAAATTCAAGGCCTGATTCTGCTCTCATGCTAAAGTAAATCCACTGACATTAAAACAGTTACTTCTGATTTACACCAGCTTATGTGAGTTTAGGATTGCTTCAGGATCCCCAGTCCAGGAAACCATTTATCTTGAACACTGTCCACTTCACGTGCATATTTACTATATTACAAACAAAGTATTTGCTCAGGGATAAATCTTTCTGTCCTTAGATCTTACTTAAAGGGAACTTCCATTGAATTTAATGGGAGTTTAGCCTGAGGCACGACTTAGGGATTTACCCCAATATTTACAAAATATTTTGTTGAGGAAAAAAGGTTCTGAGTTTCAAGTGCTCAGAAATCAAGTCAACTATTCATGAAGAAAGCCTCCCCCCAAAAAAACCTCAAAATGAAAATGTGGTATCAGGTGATCAGCAACCAGCAAACTGTCCAATATAATGC